CTCAAGGATATAATCGATGGTTCTGATTTGTCCAATACCCTTCAACTTAGAAATGTATGTCTTTATGTGCTTTGTTATGCAGGATTTTTTAGGTCGGAGGAAGTCACAAGAATAAGAAGAAATCATATTAAGTTTCTTGAAGACCACATGATAATTAAGGTTGAGAAGAGTAAAACTGATCAGCTTAGGTAAGGAGATGAAGTTGTTATCGCGAGTTCAGGGGGCAGCGCTTGTCCAGTTTCCATTCTTCAACAGTATTTGAGTAGGCTGAACACTGATCCTCATTCGGATGAGTTAATTTTCAGGCAGTTGGTCAAGACCAAGTCGTCTTATAAGATGGTTAACAAAGACACGCCAATCAGTTATTCTACCTTCAGAGATCATTCAGCAAAGAGTTTACGTAGTGTAGTAACTGACCCTTCTGTTTATGGCACCCACTCGTTTAGGTCAGGTGGGGCTTCCAAGGCTGCCAATAGTGGAGTGGGTGATCGCGTTTTTCAGAGGCATGGGCGATGGACGAGTGTTTCAGCCAAGGACGGCTATGTTAAAGATGATATTGCATCTAGAATTTCAGTCTCTAAATCCTTAGGCTTTTAGTTCCTAGGCAATTGTCTACTTCTTCAAGCCCTTTCTTTGACTTCTATGTGTTTCTTTGCTCGGCCGAAACATGCAAAATAAACCTAATGGTTCACTATATTAGTGTCTGTTGAGTAGTGTAGCTGAAATATGGAATTTCTGGCGTTTGAGTGCCAACGAATAAGCCGGAAATTAAATATTTCTGCGGCACGAGAGCAACAGGACAAGGGCCTTGGCCCTTGAGTATAGATGCATTATGGGTATAATGATACGAGTATTAAAGCTTGCGATTGCACGTGGGCAATCATTCTAGGCCGACACCTTCTCAGCTATTGCTAAGTTTATTTATTTATTTTTTTTGTAAGTATGCATATAGCCTAGTAGGAAGGTTACGTGAGCTTGGGCCTGGTTCCTACCCAGATTTCCTGTCTCTTTTTCCCCACGGGGTTTTTTTATGGCAGGTTTTTTCTGGCCGCCGTTCTAACCACGATGTTTGCAAGTGATTGCTAAGCTCTCGGTATGTCTTTTTGTCCTGTGCTTTGGTAACGATTACCGAGAATGCAACGGTTTTCTATATGTGTTTCTTCATTATTGTACGCTGGTGCTCGGTCGAAACATGCAAAATAAACCTAATAGTTCACTATATTAGTGTCTGTTGAGTAGTGTAGCTGAAATGCCAAACTTTCCCTCAATGTATCAACCAAATTTACTGCTGCAGTGCGGTGATACCCACTCGCACTTTTCTTTAGGACGCAACACGGAGGCAAAAGTGGTGGTTCGGGCTGACTTCGAATTTATCTCCACCATTTCGCTTCGTTTTTGTTGCTTTCATTTTCTGAGACAAAAGTGGTGGCTCGGGCTGACTTCAGATTTATCTCAGCCATTTCGCTTCTTTTTTAGTTGCTTTTCATTTTTTGGATTCTCATAACTTTTGTAGACTTACATTACATCGAATCATTTCAAATGTAGCGCCATAATTAGACGAGTCTTCTCGCACCATTTGACTTATAATGGTCTGGAAACTGTTACCTACACAAGATTCATTCAGAGAAGGGAACTTAATCATAACGGCCTTAATAATAACGGCCTTAATCATTATTGCTCTTCTATTAGGCACTGGGCTTTTAAATTTGAAACCTTGCAACATCGCGTCATCTGTGTCATATACATAGTTCTCCTCAAAAGACTGGACTAAAATGAATAGCGCGGACTACGCGTTTGCAATTACTTCTTCTTCTAGGTAAGATTCCAGATCGATAGATTAACATCAACGATGAGATCTCTCCTCGTGGATCTTAGCTTCCCGCCAGTTTGCACAATGCGCTTCTCTATCTCATCGCAAATTGCGTTTCTTCGCGTTTTTAGTTCGCCTGTTCTGTAGATACACACGTTGGCATTTGATCTGGCTACAGTTAGGCTATCCTCTTCGAAGATTTTCTCTCTTGATTTCCCACTTAGATGTCATACGAACTTGCGCTTGAAGGTTTCAAATAAAGAGCGATAGATTTCTTGTGTTTTGGATGCAATGTTCATCACCTAAGGGCTCATGGAGAGATTTTGTTGTTTTGCTGTGTTCTTAGCCTTGTAGTGGTCACCTTCTAACCAGTTAGCGTTTGTAGCATTGTTTGCAGTCAAAGACGCGTTGCCATTTCTTTGTCAGCAAAGTTTAAGTCTTGATAAGGTAACAAAGTGATTGTATTAGCCATGAGGTCATCCTTGTCGCAGGATTCTCCCATCAAGTCTTCCAAACAGCGTTTTTTTACCTCTGAAATTGCCTTCTGGAAAAGCTCTCTCCTTTCATGTTGTGCGCTTGATTTAAAGTCACATAGGCAAATTAATGATGACTCTAAATGGAACTAATTTTATTAAATGTATTTGTCTAAGGAAGTAGTAACACACATGATTATTTTAACCTAAATGGGTTTATTTCAATTAGCATCTGATGCATGATAATAACTCTGATAAAATTATACATTCATTGTCAAAGACTTTTGGGTTCTGGTTCCTCGTGATAGCTTTCATCGCGTCTTAGTGAAACCAGCTTAAAGATAAAACCAAAAAGTCAACTTTTGTACAAAAAGTTATAACACCCAATTAAGAGACGATATTCTCTTGTCTCAATCTGAGGATGTTTGCGGGCTTATCTCCAATTTCATGTGAATTTAAGCTTTCTTTAAGTCTACAAATTAACAATATAAAAAATTTTCCGTTTGATAATTCTCGCTCTATATCACTTTGCTGAATGTAAGAACAGCCTCTGGCTTGAATGGCACAATTTGGCACTTTTAATTATAAGGGTCGTTTAACCAATCACGGTTGAGCGAATTATCCAGAATTCTTGACAAGGAAGTTTGAATTTTTACTCTAATTGATTTTTAAAGGTTGTTGTGGCTTCATACACATTAATATTAAAAGAAACATCGCTGGCATTTGTCTTTGTTTCAATCATTTTGAAGCCTAAATGTGTTAGGGAAATTCAAACCCTCAAGGCAGAATTAAAGTTTCGTGAACACAATTATAGCATCGCTTGGGATCTTCTAAAATGATTAAAGAATCTCAAATTATAATAAAAAATTTGGACAGGTAAGTACCTTATTTCCTCGAAAAGCCATACGGGCGCTCATGTCAAAGGAGGGGCGCTATTTGGAAGAAGGGCGCTTAATCAAGGGGGGGAAGGGTTGCTTATTACGTTTGGACGGTAATGGTACAAAAAGTACAAGAACAGACTGCATGCATATAGAGAAACTCTCCAAGCACATGGATATAGAAATAACTGTACTTAAAGCTGAAAACGATATATATAAATTGGCAATAGAAGTAGGTTTTCCTTGTATCCTTCTATTTTTAAAGAAAGTGAGGGCTTGAGAAGGGGGAGGGGTGCTTGTTTGACATTATGGCCTAGAGGGTGACCGCCTAATCATGGAGGGTGCTTAGTAGAGAGTGGGCCATTATTCGAGGAAACTCGGCATGTTCCCTGCGATTCAAGTAGCGATTTTACAGCTAATCAACACATTTGTAAAAAGCCTTTATGATAGCTTATCACCTTTGATTCATACAGCATCATACTTCAGGAATTTATCGGGCTTGTTTTCTTACTAGAAATTAATATTTAAATTGTAAATGGATCAGGAAAGATCATCAAACTTTTGAGTTCGGTTTTCGAATACAAAAAGATTGTTCCGCATTTGCAAAGAGCATGAGAAAAAAATCAAGAAATATCGGTTCCTTAAGAAGGACCTTGGCATTTTATCGATATCGTCTGAGGCGTTGTGATTACCGTTAATCATTTTCAGGCCCTGAATGTTGCAATTGTTTGGGGCTCAAACCTCGACCAGCCGTAAGATATTCAGGCGCTCTTCCCCTGTACTGGGCATCCACACAGGCATATGATACTCAATAATATATGATTTTAGTCTTAGATATGTCTCTTGTTACTTTCACTAATCTAAGTGCTTAATTTTTGCACCTAGATTTGTGATAAAGAATGCTATAAGTAACGTTTCAACTTCTGAGAGTTCAGATGCATTCCGCGCTTGCGTCTCTAAAGTGGTAGCAGCCGTCGTAACCATACGATGATGATATGTCTCTGTGACGACATTCAGTTAAACTCGGCTCTTCTCCTCGACAATTGACCTCACTCATCAAGATGGGTCTGGATCCTTGTCCGTACCTCGCGCCGGCAGGAGCAGCAGTTGCATGGGAGAAACCCAGCTCACGACATACTACCTTGGCGTCGTTGATATCCCAGCGAAGGTGGCACACATTACCCCATTTTCCATTTTTATAAACCTCAACACGCCCAAAAGATGTTCCACCATTCACCAAACGAACTAAGACAGAAAACAAATATGAAGATCAGTAGAAAGTTCGCGTGCCTGTGCACCAAAAAAGAGTACAACTTTTTGTCCGGAAAACTTTGTTGCTCACGCCTCTATGATCACCAACTTTCTCCGAAATTTTTTTTTGAATCGCTATCACTATCACTTTCATCATCATCATCATCATCATCATCATCATCATCATCATCATCATCATTATCATCATTATCATCAACATTATGATCGGCCCCGGCCGGACCAATACTCATGGTCTTAAAATAACTGAGGAGAATTTGCTACCTTTCTATAATATCAAGAAATGGATAGATATTCTAGTCTTCTCGGATAAGGACGAATAAACCGAAGGCCTCGTCTCCTGCAAGGTCAGGCCGGTAGGAGACGTTAATTTCCCACGCACGAGATTACTGTGTTGTGGATGTCCTCCCCTGGGGTGGGATGGGTGGGAATAGAGGGCCACAAGTTTATTAGTTACTTAAACTATTCCATGCTACCCTCTCTAAATAAAGTGTGTATGTATGTATGTATGTATGTATCAGTATTTTATCCTTATCCTTGTTATGCGACTCATTATCTTCGTTACTATTATGAACATTTTTGTGATTATTACTATGATTTTTGCTGTTATTGGTAATTACTTTTCGCGCATACACCGAATGCAAATATGGTGACCAATTTGAGTTGCCATTGTTCTGGACTCACTAGCCCCTCACACATGTAATAATCCTTTTGTGTTTCCACGTGAAGACGATGCTACTGAGTCCAGAACAATGAAAATTAAAATTGGACGCCATATTTGCATTTGGTGTATAACTTACCTCTTTGCGGTCTTACTTCAACATCACTAATTGCCTCGATATGAAACACTCCAGCACTTGTCGCTAAACAGATATAATTACCAGCGTCTTCTTCCTCTACATTACTCAATATAAGCGCCTGGTTTGTAGTGTTACTTCTTCTAACTGGCAGTTGAGCTCCTTGTCTCTTCCAAGTGATGACTGGTTGTGGATCACCAATAGCCTGGCAGTTTAACGTAATAGTTCCGCCAATACTAGCAGAAACTTTCCTTGGCGGCTTAACGGTGAATTGAGGAAGTGATACCACAACAAGTACAGTTTTTCTTTCCACTTTTCCTAGGCGGTTCACCGCCGAACAGAAGTATGCCCCAGAGTCATCTTTACGGACATGTGAGATGCGTAAAGCGCTGTTGTTGTATTCCACCCTACCCTGGGGCAACTGACCAGCCGATTTTCTCCAAGTTACCACTGGTGCAGGATTTCCGGTCACGTGACAGACAGGAAATATGTGATTATTTCCCTCGACAGCATAATGAGGTCCTGGATGTAGTAAAATGCGGGGACGGACTAAAGTGAAAAAAAAAAAATTAAAAAAAAACATTAAAATTAAAATTAAAAAAGACAAACAAACAAGCAAAAAAATAAACAAATTAAAAGAACATCTCTAAATGTGACTGGAACGTATCAACTTAATCAACGGTCGCTGACTGTGAGGTGCGAGGTATAATGCCTATAATTTCCATTTCATAATCTTGCCATCGGATAACTGGTCACTTTAATTTATGGTCAGATCGTTTCGAGTTAGATCTTTCCACTCTATACTTCAGTCTGGTCAATTTCCTCCAAAAGGGAAATCAGATCGCTCTTAGTTAGAGCTACATGCTTCGTCTCTCGTTTATAAAAATCGGTATTTTGTTGATACTCGTTACGAGTATCAACAACAAACCGAGAACAGGGACTAGTTCAAGCTTTTCATTGCGCATAAGATTTGTTAACAGCAGTCATAAAAAGATGTATTTTCATGTCATAGATGATCAAAACAACAATGACAACAACGAGAATAAAAGAATAAAATCGACCAACACCCATGCAAGATGTTACACACTTTCTGTTACTTTTGAATAGCTCTCTTTATGCTTTTTCAGTGGAAAGGTTTCACTCAACCGTGGAACGATAAAATCCAATTTGAAGCGTTCTGACTTGGACATGACCTATTGATGAACTCTTTCAAAAATGAAAGTTTCCTATAAACTAAGCCAGTTCAGTGCGCCATGATTCGCCGGCGAATGCTCATGCTATTTGCCTGTCAGCCATTTTCTGGCAACAGTTTTTCCCTTTTTTATCCATAACAAGGTAGATGTAATAATAATAAAGAAATAATGATATAATGATATAAAAAAAACAGTCCGTTGGCTCAATTCTCACCATTTTTTACCACTAGGCGCACAAGTTTGCGCGATTCCCCTAGGATGTTTGCAGCCGAACACTGATACAAGCCTGAGTCATTTCCTGTCACTTTCTCTAACCGTAACTTTCCTCCTGAAACCGATGATTGACTGATTTCTGACTGACTGTTTACTTTACTCCACACCATTGCAGGCTCAGGATTGCCGCTAGCTGAACACTGAAACGAGGCTGATCCTCCCTTGTTAACCGTTAAAGTGGCAGGGGAAACAACAACAGTTGGAGGTGAAAGGGATTGACTAGGTTCTCCTTTAGTTCCCGGCATGCCTGTGTCTCCTCTGTCTCCTTTCTGTCCTTTGGTACCAGTCTCTCCCTTGACTCCTATATTTCCCATGATGCCTTGCTTACCACGTTTTCCAGGCGACCCCATAGCGCCTTTATCTCCTTTGCTACCGGTCTTTCCTTTCTGTCCCCTCCGTCCCCGCGCTCCTCTGGGTCCAGGTGGACTGGGAGGTCCTCGAATGCCAGACGAACGTTTTGATTGACACAGTTGCAGTCTTCCCTCTAATAATAGTTTGTTGAAATTCTGGATCATGGCCTCTGTACTTTTGCTTCCTGTCGCGTTCTTATGTGAATCCGATTGGCGCTTGTTTCTATAGACGATACTGGTCTCCATATCTTCAAAGAGAGCAGAACAAGAAAATTTCAGATGGATGAAATAGTGGAAATAGACTTTCGTTGTTTAAGGTAGTAGCGACCCTATAAAGCCTTTCAGAATCTTTTATTCCTCCTTCAACTTTATTACCTAGGGTAGTATTGTTGCAAGGAACGCTTAGCTAGGAGTGCCTGCAAAAGACTCTTTTTCATTTTTTTTTCTAATCTCGCACAAAGCAATACTTGGCAGGTAACACCTTGCTATATTTGTGTGAAAATTTCTGGAATACACTTAGAACTACGTATCTTCTTTTCTCTTCTCTATCTCTTTTGATCACCTTTGATTTCCTGATTGTCACTCAGCGGTTGCAAAGGGAGATATCAACAGTAACCTTTATTGATTCTACTACAGCGGAGTACGGCTCAGTAGCTGGGACTTAAAGATTTGCTCCACTGATCTTGAAGCTCTTGTGAGAATATCCCTTGTCCTAAAATTGTGAGTATTTCTCAAGCTTGAAACCACTGATTAATGTTTTAAACCATGGAATTTATTTTAAGTGAGTCTACTCCAACCATGATTTCGATTTATTCACATAATTTGTTTATCTAATTCCGTTTACATCCTCTTTGTCAGGGCACGTGACTGTCAGTAACCAAAACATTTACTGGTATCAAGCTGTCGCTCCTTTTCAATCTTTTCTCTTACCAGCTGTAGTCTGTGTCAGATCATACCAAACCGGATAGTTGTTTAATAATCGGAAGGTCTATTTTTCATGTACTGCCCACTGTTTTGAATAGGACGAGTATGTTATTTTTTGTTGAAAATAATAGTTTTATCACTTATATATCAATTACCTATAAATACATAGACAGGAAATGCCGAAAATATTACTCTCTATTGACTAGTAGGGTGTTTCCGCCCAGTTTTAATCTTAAGAATCAAAACATCTGAGATGTGGACTATACTATGGCAACTTTATGATGAGGCACACTTGTCACAACAGCTTAAAATCCCTCATTCAGTATATTCATGTCCTTCTATCTTCTGGCGACATAAAGAAGTTGGTAATTATGTGCATGTATTAAAATATGAGGAATTCTTTTTCAAACATAAGAACAAGTCGTACCGTTTCGAAAGACACCGGATCGGTATCATTTATCTTCTTTTGTTACAATCTAGCTAGTCTGTTTGAGAAAAATCGTCCTCAAAACGTTTACAGGAGGCAGTTCACCGCCAACATGATCAAACAAAAAAATAAACTATATTTTAGATTTACAGAATCAAAGATTAGATGGAATCAAAACCAGAGTAAGATGATCAAAAGCCATGAAAAACATATCGCACTCGGCGGCCCTTTCATCACAATTATACAAAAGAGACGCTGTAATTGTATACCAGAACTCTGTGTGAAAGTAAAAGGGTCGACCAGCAACTTTGCCCGAAGGATTGACTTCAAGATAACTTTTTCATTTTAGACCAATTGCAAATAAGCTTTTTATTTC